GGTAATACTGGATTCGTTCATGATTGTCCCTCGTATGATGTCCCTTAAAGATCACGTCATTAGGCTGAATCACCTTCGCAACCGGTTTTTGCATGCTGCAGCTACATGGCTTCTGCTCGGCAGCTAAGTGTCAGTGACCAACTATCCGAAATCGATTTATGCAATCCCACATTCCAATTCGTGCCCGCAGACCATATACTGGTCAGATACTGAGACAATGTCATAGGGTGGCCAGGTTGATCTGGGCACAGCGTCACTTGCGCTGGACACGAAACCAGTGGGGTCGGTTATTATTATCGACGAATCTCGCTTTAGAGTAAGTCATGCAAAGGGCAGGGTGCGAATCTATCCTCGCAGATGTGTGTGTATTTGCGTTTATTTATACTCGCCACCGGTTGCCCATATGGGCGAGTCCTCCAGATGAGTATTAGTCATTTTAGATTTTTGGAGGATAGTGCAATTACAGATACAGAAAGATGCCCCAATTCCAGAAGCTTCTCCTGGTTCTTTAGCGTGCCAAGTGTTTAAGCACCCATACACGGGACCTCGATTTAAAGTCTCATCCGAAAGACTGATTAGTAATTTTAGTTGGCCAGCCCGGGAATCGAACCCACAATGTCGAGATTACAAGTATCGCGCTCTAACCGATTGAGCTATGCGGGCTGGCATCCTCGCAGAAATGAACGTTTCGCACAATGTTGCATCTGGAAAAGAGATAGGTTTGGTAGGGGAAGCGTGATGGTATGGGAAGGAATTATGGGGGACCGAAAGACAGAGCTTGTGGTTGTGTTGCAACCTTACTGCGGAAGGTTATGTGCATATTCTGGCAAACACTCTTATCATTCATGCAGGCTCATGGTCCTGGATTAACTGTCCAGCACGCCAATGTAAGGCCACACACTGTTCGTTAAACAGACAATTTTCTAGATTGCAACCACGTTAACGTCTTGCCTTGGCCCGCTGACTACCCGAAATTGAATCCCATTGGATATATCTGGGATAAACTTGGGCGAAGAGTGAGGACAAATCACTGATAGACAACGTTAACGACCTTTCAAGGGCGCTGCAGGTGGAATGGGAGACCCTGTCTAACGTGCTAATCAGGCGTAACGTTCACTCTATAAGGAGGAGACATCGAGCGTGTATTACCAGTTCTGGGGGCCACACACGTTGATGTATTGTTCTGATAAACAATATTGGTTTTAATTCAAAGATTAAGAATCTCAAACTCTCGTAAAGAGTCTCGTTTATCGCCTTTCATTCTTGGAATTTTTACTTTGGCCCCTAGGTCAGAATTTGTTCGGGTATAAATTGTTTCTTTTTGTTTGATCGACAAAAATGTGAGTAATTTGAAGTAAAATCTCAAAAAAAAAATAAAATGTAATCAGACTTATTTGATACACCAATAAGAAATTGAAATATGCCCATTTTAAGCCCATGTAAAGTTTTTTTTTATTGAGTGTAGTTTTTACTATATAAACACTTGCCGCTCTTATTGCTTCCCTACTGAATACTGTTAGGGCCATCGTGGTTATACTTTGCAATCCAGAGGGCGACAATGCGACAGTGCGATGACGACAATATGAATTGCGAGGACGACAATGCGATAGTGCGATGGCGATAATGAGATGACGCCAGTACGATAATGCGATGGCAACAATGCGATAACGGATGGCGACAATACGATAAAGCGATAAAAAATACTTTCGTGCTGTCACCATCGAAGTATAATACTGTCGTCATATATCGTACTGTCGTCATCGCATTATCGCACTGCCATCGAAGTATCGTATTGTCGGCATCGCATTGTCGACTATCGCCTTCTGGTTAAATGCCGGCGAATTAGCCGACGAATTTGAATATGGATAAATAATTTTAGTTTTGTCAGTAGTTTTTTTCTTCTTCTTTTTTCTCTCTTTTTTCCTCTTTTTATATATATACACGTGTATATATATAAATTTATTTACTTTTTTTTGGAGGGGGTGTATTTGTTTCTTTTTCCTTTTTTTTGTTTACTGAAAACATCTAAATAAAATTATAAATTAATGATAAGCATGATATGTAACATTTTATAGCAAAAGAGTAACATATAACATACACGGAAATAAAATATAATGAATTGTGTGAAACTTTAAAAAAGGTCGACAGAATTCAGATGGGAATGGTGTTATGTTGACATTTAAAAGATGTAAAAAATGTTAAAATAATTGTTTATATTACTTATATAAAAAGACAAAATTATATTCATAGACCATATTATATATGTTTTGAACCAAATATGGTGGAAACTGGTCTGAAAGTTTGTTTTGATGACATCTAGGTTAAGTTTAAAAATTGGGTCACCTGGGGTCAAAAACTAGGTCACACCGCCCAAATATTGAAAACATTGTTAACACTCTAGTGGTCATATTTTTGACTCAGTTGTCATTAAACTTGGTCAGGATGCGTATCTAGGTAATTGCTCGGATGGGCAACAGGAGCTAAAAATAAAATAAAAATATTTGTTAACTCTCCATTGGCTACTGTTGTTATCCAAATATCATGGAAATTGGTCTGCAGGTTTGTTTTGATAATTTAGAGGTAAAGTTTGAATATGGGTCACCTGGGGTCTAAAACTAGGTCACACTGCCCAAATATGGAAAAACCAATCTAACATTCTAGTGGCTACTGTTTTGATCCACATAACCTTGAAATTGGTCTCAAAGATTGTTTTGATGATTTGTAGGTCAAGTAAGAATATGGGTCACATGGAGTCAAAAACTAGGTCACTCCGCCCAAATATGGGCCATCTTGTTTATTTTTAGCTCCTGTGACCTAGTTTTTCATCAGAGATGACCCATGTTCATACACTTCCGAGTAAATATTTAGACAAGCATCCTGAGTAAGTTTGATGACAATTGTGTCAAAAATGAAGACCTGGTTTGGTATTGCATTTGGAGCCCCTGATACAGTTCAAGGTCACTGTTATTAAAAATAAAAAAAAATGATTTCTGGACAATAACTGGATTTAGGAATGAGATATTGTAATTGTACTTGGTATAAAGCAAGATTATATAAAGACCTGGCTTGGTATTGCATTCGGACTTCCTTGTGTCAAGGTCAATGTCACCGTTACTAAAATAGAAATAGAAAACTCGAGTGAGAAATGAGATATTGTAATTAAACTCTGTATATAGTAAGCTCATATGAAGACCCGTGTTATTTCATCGTTACTTAAAATATAAAAATAGTTTTCCGGACTATAACTACAGTAAGGCATGTGATATTGTAATTAAACTTGGTATTTAGCGAGCTTATATGAATATCCTCAGCTCGGTTGCTTTTGTACCCCCGGGAATCAAGGCTCACTGTTACTAAATATAGAAAAATGGTTTCTGAAAGCTAACATTAGTTAAGAATTAGTTTACACAGTTGATACTTCATGAATTATAGGTCAAGTTCAAATTTTGTTTCAGACCACTTAAATTTCCAAAAAGTCAAGGTTGCTGGAGGGGGCATTAATCACTTTAAGTGATAACAAGTAGGGAGTTCTAAACACTAAGGAATGCACGAACCCTTTGTTTTTAGGGTTTAGCCCCCGAAAGAGGATAGAAGAGGATAAAAGTTGCACAATATAATTTAATATATAATTTTATATTTAACACATTGTATTGAAATTAAAATATTTATGTGATGTGTGATGTTTTAATCAATAATCAATAATTTAAAGCTATTTACGCAAAAAACATATATATTATATGCTGTAGAATACTCAAGTGAACTTTATGGCCCATATGCCTCTTGTTAGAAAATCAAAAGTCTGTAGGATTCAGTTTTAAAAATGTTATTTGTATGTTGTTGCAATATCTATAAATAAAGTTTGATTGCAAAGTATAAGGTAAGAAAACAATTATTTCATGGCTGTTTGTGGAACAGTAAACTGTTGTTCCTCGATATTAGGGATGACATTTGGAACTGTTGCCTTCGGCCTCTGGCAACAGTTCCAAACGTCATCACGTATATCTCGGAGCAACAGTTTTGACTGTTTCACAAACACACATGAAATAATTAATGTATATTGATTAAATTCGTTAAATAATCCTTTGTTGCATGCTTGAACCGTCTGCTGTTCTATTTTGACGCTGAAAACCTATGATTACTCTTTAAAGATATTTAGGACGCGTAAAGGACAATAGGTTTCAAACAACTAAATTTTCTGGCTGTCATACTCTTGTGATGCCCCTTCGTGGCGAACTTCGGAAAATAAGAGGCTTAACACTAACATTACAAAAGTGAGGGGTAATAGCGAGCGCGAAGGGTCTGCTCGCAAAGTGAACATTACTGTAACGCAAGTATCTTCGGGGTATGGTTTATTGCCAGAAGTACAGCAAAAGCATGGATAATAGGTTTACCTCCTCTGCATAGGTGTTAATTTTGGTTCCCTGTCCTATTATATTTGGAGCACGCCAGCAATTAGTACCAGCAGGTTACCTGCATTATTATTTACCAAAGCACGCGGGAAAAAGTTATTCTGGTTTCCTGTCTCACTATGGTTCGTATTCAAATTGACATTCAGAACCACTTGCCAACTACCATTAATCCAAATAGACTTTTCTTTGTATGTCAAATATATTCATTTGTTATTTATTATGAAAAAATACACTTCTGTTTTGTATACATGTACTGGTGTAGAACTATTTTTGATCTGTAATAAGACCGGGATGATTATGAATAATCGTCGAGGCGATTTGTAGTGGGAGGGGGTCCTTACAAAGAAGTGCTCCGAATTTGTACTTGAATAGTTTATTGTTGTGGGTGTGTTTTGGAAGTACAATATCCATCGCTACCTTTAGAGATAGACAACCTTCTATGCAACGTGCCCAACACGTTTCAATATTTATGTTCTGTATATATTGTGTTTTAATGTAAGTTATGTATAGAAGTATTTGTTAAAAAATACATATCAGTCCATGCATTCTTTGGAAAAGAGACCATATATGAAATGTTTTTATGTGTCACAGGTTGGTTCACGATTTAAGCCCTGAGTCTGGAGATTCTATGGATGAAGATGATGACGAGTCCATAGAAATACAAAAAGAACGCTTCCTGATCAGTTGTTTGGCTCGGTCTGCGATTAACAATAACAACAGTATTAGTCAGGTGACACAGACCACATGTGAAAGATTTTGTGATAAGACCGAAACAATCAAGGATACATACGCCAAGTTTGAATGGCAACAGAACCATTTAGAGAGGATAAACAATCATATAAATGAACAACATTTAAACAAAGTTCTTGATAGTCCATGTCAAAATATCAATCTGATAAACAACAATTTCATACAGGTTTGTATCTGGCTTTAGTAGCTTTTTCATATTAACAAGGCAGTCTAAAGAACGGCTATATCCCCTGCTGAAGCACTGTTGAACCCTTGACCGACTTTTAATTATGACTTTAACCTTGGAAGAAGCTATCCGGTTTTTGAGCTCTGCGCATCATTTCATAATGGTGATCATTTGTTCCAAGTGATTTTAAAAACTTTTAGTAGTTAAAAGATTATTAAGCGGAAAGGTAAGGCAAAGTAAGGACTTTTTTATATTTTACCTGACAGTGTGACATTCGGATAGCGACGTGACGTGATTGTAGTGCTCGGAACATTATCTCATAATGATAATATATTGTCCAAAATTATTTTTTAAAAATATATTAGTTTAAAAGTTATGAGGCGGACACGAAATGATGACTTGTTGACATTTTATTCTCAAGAGTGACATTGACGTTGGAGGTAGCCACATCGTCTCATAACGATGCCAAGACCATACTTCTACATTGCTTAATCTTTTAATTTTCTCCTTTTATGATACAATGTACTTAAATATTTTTACTAAAGTCATTGACACTTTACATTTATAGAGATTGGTCAGAGGAAGTGCAGTTTTAAGGAATAATAAATCTTAATAACTAGTTCTCCCCTGTATATTATTAAGTGTGTTGTCCAAGATCAGATGCTACCTTGCTTGTTTTTTTTTGAAAAATCACTTTACAATAGTAAACTTTCATTAAACCTATGAAGATGACAGAGAGAAAGACATTAAACATTTAGCTCAATATTTGTTAAAAAACAGCAAAAAATCCCGAATGTCGAGCTGAATTTTGTGCTAAATGTCGAGCTATCTTCACATCCCAGCTCCACATTCAAATGAGAGACAAAAAAGAATGTTGAGCTAAATGTTTGCTGAATGTTTAGCCAGCTGCACATCCCAGTCTGACATTCAAAAAGAGAGAAAATAACACGATTATCAAGCTGTATGCTATGCTGAATGTCGAACCAGCTTCACATCCCAGCTCGACATTGAAACAGAGACAAAAATATGAATATCGAGCTGAATGTTGTGTTGAATGTCTATTCAGCTTCCCATTACATCTCAACATTGATAAATCGAATGTCGAGCTGAATGTTTAATACCGAACTTTCTTAGATTTACTTTCTTTTAGGATTTATAGCTTTAACTCATTGACAGATGTCTTTCATATTTTATTGTAACATACCTTGTGGTCTTTTAACTATGGTCACTTGGGTCAAGATGAATATCACGTAAAAACAGCTTTTTACACTTTTTATGCCCCCACAAAGTGGGGAGCATATAGCGTTGCACTTGTCCGTCCGTCCGTACGTCTGTCCGCACTCACAGGAGAGTAATTATGTGGCTAGAGGGACTGTTCTTTCTCTTTGATGTCATTCATTCCGTAATGCTTTTATGTGGCTATTTTCTTTTGTGTGGCTAAAAAGAACAATAGAGAGAACAATAGAGTAGCTACATAATTACTCTCCTGTAAGAACGTCCGTACGTCCGTACGTCCCGAAATCTTGTGAACGCAACTCATCTTAAACCGGATGGCAGATTTTGCTTAAACTTCCAGGGATGAACAACCTTAATGTGTAGATGGTAGTAAAGGAAGGAATTTTCGCTGCGACCAAATTTAACAGAATTATGGCCCTGTGTTGATTTTTTCACTATATACTCTGTAGAAATTTTGTGAACGCAACTCCTCTTAAACCGGATGGCAGATTTTGCTTAAACTTCCAGGGATGAACATCCTTAATGTGTAGATGGAAGTAAGGGAAGGAATATTTGCTGCGACCAAATTTAACAGAATTATGGCCCTTTGTTGATTTTTTCACTATATACTATGTAGAAATTTTGTGAACGCAACTCCTCTTAAACTGGATGGTAGATTTTGCTCAAACTTCCAGGGATGAACAACCTTAATGTGTAGATGGAAGTAAAGGAAGGAATTTTTGCTGCGACCAAATTTAACAGAATGATGGCCCTCTGTTAATTTTTTTCACTATATACCATCTATATGTTGTCAGTGGGGGCATCCCAGTTCTAGTGTTAATACAGCTTTTGTTTATTTATATCAAATAGGTGGATACTTTTAGTAAGTGAAGTAATAGGGCGTCATACACTAAGTTTAAGGTCAACGATGCATAAACTTGTTTTTTAGCTCACCTTGCACATAGTGCAGGTAAGCTATTAGGATGGCCCATCATTTGCGCCCGTAGTCCGGCGTCCGTCCACATTTTATTCAAACGACTCCTTCTATGATACCACAAGGCCAATGTTAATGAAACTTGGCAGGTATACTCTTTGTATGAAGCTCTATCAAGATTGTTCAAAGAATTCTACTCCATACTAAACTTGTTATGGCAACTAAAAGAAAACACTTAAAAGTTCTTTTACTTCAAAATGGAAAGGGCTAGAGCTTAGATATTTCTCACAAGGCATTAGCTTGTTGGTTTCTTCAAAGAATATTCAAATTATGGTATAGAGATGAAAATTGGTCTCTGTTTTGGTGGTTAAAGGGTTTTTTATTGCAAGGTTATATAGACTTTCTTTGTAGGGATAAATTGAGATAGTGTATCTTGTATTTTTTTGTCTCAACAGACATTGTTATGAAGATTTTTCTGTTAAAGCATTAAAAAGATGAATAGGTTGTTGAATGTGAATGTTAATTAAAACAGGGTCAATCAGAATAGCACAAATTTGAGAGCTACAGTGAAGTTGATTTCCCTATTCAATAATGGATTCTTCAATTAATTTCGTAACACCATCAGTAAGGAGACTGTCATTTCCGAAATACAATGTAACGTATTTCGGTTCTTGACAATGACTTGCACATTTTATTGTGTAAAATATTTCACAAAGAAACTAAAGGGAACAAAAAATGTTGTATTTTTTCACAAAAATAAGCTGATTAAGATAAAGTTTAATTTACAGTACGGATATTATTTTTAACATCTTTCCGGTTTGCGGGGAAAATCATATTTTCAAGATGAATTTTTTCAATGAATGAAACTTTTATTGAAATTTATGAAATATTTCGATAAGACAAAAATTTGTACATCTATTCTACAGTAAGGACAGAGTGATGTTTTGGGAAACGAACGCTAGTATTAGCTTTGAGTACCAAAATATTTTTGTATGCAAATTAGGTGGTTCGAGTTTACAATATAAAATAAATATATGTCATTATATTTCATTCTTAGAACAAACATACAATTCAAATCAATAAATAATGCATATCAATTAGTCCATTCAACAACTTTGCCTCAGAAAACATTTGTATCAATCTGACCTCGAGTTGAGATTATAAATAGAACTAAACCGAAAGTATGACAAAATGGCCGCCATGCACAAGAAATTGAGAAATTGTGTAACATAAACTCGTATTTCATAACAAAGAAGTGAAGATGAATACAATTATCGATGTGCTTCGTTAAAACAGGTATTTTGTTAACTATTTGTTAAGTATTAAGGCATGACATTCAGTATTTATGTAAATATCACCTCCCGTGTTATGATTTCTAAAATTATACATGCACACATGTGATATTGACCTCAATAAATGTTTACAAGTGAAAATGGAACAATAATTTATGGTAATTACCCATGGTGCTAGTAATACTTAATTATCTTTATCATTTTGTTAGCTAAGCAAGAAGCTTACGTAATTTAAGAATTACCTAACCTCACAATTTTATCAATTTAAACTTGAAAATCTACTCAAAATGACTTCCGAAACAGTAATTTTTGAAACATGAAAATGATTCATGTAGAAAAATAACACAAGAAAAAACTGATTTGACTCATGAAAATTTTGGCCAAACAGTCTGCCACGTGAAATTCTGACCTAACTGAGATTCCTGCTGTTTTTTTTATATACATTTGACAAGATTTAATTTTACAATTAAACCTGTGTATAGAGCCACTCATGTAAGCAGAAAGAAGTTTTTGTAGAAAGGGGTGTTTAAATATGATGCTTGGGGGTCAGATCCTGCCCCCAACATGATACTCCCTGAGTAAACACTCTATCAAACAATATTTTAATATTTAAACACTAATGGGATATCTGTTACGACTCGAAAGAAATTACATATATGAAAAAATACTGTTTACCATCATGTATTGAGACTTGATTCCGGGCAGGCAGGCGATGGTTGGACCAGTTTTCGTAACAGTTTTCTCAGCAACTACTTATTAGAGCCTCATGATATTTAGTATGCAGCATTAACACGGTGATACCATGGCATTCTATTTCAGGTCTGTCGCTCATCCACTTCATGATTACTTACTTAGTTAAATTCATAATAATGGTCAATGGTAGGAATTTTTCGTAACAATTTTCTCAGCAACTACTTATCACAGCCTATTGATATTTGGTATACAGCATTAACATGTAGTCACATACCATGGGATTTCAGGTATGTCGCTCATCCACTTCCCGTTTGCTGACTTCGTTAAATTTTCGGCATTATTTGTAAAAATGAAATGAAATTTCCGAAACTGTTTTCTCAGCAACTACATGTCATAGCCTCTTGATATTTGGTATTGTGACTGCATTAACACATGGTCCCAAGTTCAGGTCTATCGCTTTTCAACAAATGCGACCTGGCCATTTTTATCTTTGACCCATTTTTATTGAAGTATTATCCAAATTTGTACTTCGTCTTCATTGTTTAAATTTTCATGATGTAAACACTCTACAGGGAGTGTATTTTTTAGCAACCTGTACTTTAAAGAAAAAAGAGGTATTTCTATACACTTGTTTGCATTCCTGTTGCTGTTGGCCAAAAATACTTTACATTTGACACTCACCTTTAAATGACATTAAAAAATGTTATAAACCTTGTTTTTAAAAAGAAAAATACTTTTAAGATCTCTTCCATAAGGTGAGCGATATAGGGCCATCATGACCCTCTTGTTTATAATTTTGCTTATACATTATTGTCATTTATAGATGACTTTCTTAGCGGGTAAATATCTTTGTTGGTCCTTTAACTTTGGGTGAAGAAAAAGCTGATAAAAATAGGTTGTTACATGTGCTCTTATTCATCCTGTTTTTTTATTGACTGATGTCTTTCATATATGGTAGATGGATACCTTGGGTTGTCATATGACTTTGGGTGGAATAAGGGGTAATTGGGTTAAAAATAAGATTTAGATAACTGGCATTGACTAATATGAATCGAATACATTGACAAATGAAAAGGTTCGGGGAGCATCCATCGCCATCAGTGAAATTCTTGTTGAGGGAGATGAAGAAGATATTTCAAATAATCTTTGTACAGAAGTTTCCAAAAGAAAATGTTTTTTGTACGATTATACTTAATAATGAATAATGACGATATATGTATCAAATCATTAACAGTCTATTTCACAAAGATAGATGTGATGTACTGATAATCCCTACACACATCATATTTTGAAATTAATTTCATGAACGATTTGGAAAGTACCTTATTTGTTTTATAATTAAGTATCTTGAAGAGTTTGTTTATTGTTTTGTTGTAAAAACAATCATTTCAAAAACATTTATCAGAAAACAGACAAGACAGTACTTTGGTTTTAATTCGAAACACACGCTTCATTGAGATTTGTTTCTAATTAAAAGCTGTCTGATGGTGAGAATGAATCGAGTGACAAAGAAAATGCACGACCTTGTTATCCTTCCTTAAAAACAACAACACCAAGTGCGAAAGCCGCAAGGAGACCCCGTAAACTGCCTGATATACCAAAGAAAGGTAAATATTTAGAACACTTTAAAAGTACATATAATACATAATAAATGCTCTATGGTCATTTTCTGCAGGAATAAAGGAATGGGGCTAAATTATTATATGGACAATATACCATACACATTTCAATAACTGTAACATTGTTTTTAATAGTCTTGCGAATGACTGTTAAAGTTTTGTTTTATACAGAATTTATCTTAGTTCGATTGTGTGGGAAGCAATAAGCTTATAGACACTCTTTCAAATCCGTTTATGGAACCAACCAGTACTGAGCACTGAGTGTAAAGTTTCGTGCTCAAGGAAACAACGACTTGCCCCTGACGGGGTTTGAACCCATGCGGCTAGCAATCATTAGATTATTAGTCCGACGCGTTAACCACTCGGCCATGTCGCCACAAATTAAAGCTTTAGAGAGTGTGTCAGTATAGATGTGTTACAATGTCCCCTAACATAATATTCACTTGTTTAAGTGGTGTGTATTAAAGATTGTCTCGTATATGAGAGATTAGCAGTGAACATTGAGCCAAGTTAAAAGGCATTACAATTTAATGAACATTGAGCCAAGTAAAAAGGCATTACAATTTATAAAGGGAAATCAATGAAGTGCTGTATTGCTTAGTTGTTGGCTTAGCAATCTAGCAGGGCATTCCAATATATAGAGTAAAAGGCTCTGCTGGAATGCTTAGCTAGAAGAGCAATCTAGTGGGGCATTCCTAAAAAGGAGTAAAAATGCTCTGCTGACATGCTTAGCTAAAAGGGCTTTCTGAAATACAGTAACAAATTACTCTGCTGAAATGACGAGTTGACAGAGCAATCTAACGACATATACTTTAATTAAGTGTAGTAAGTGTTCTTTAGTAAGCTGGTCATTTCTAAAAATAGTATAGAAAAGCTCAGCTGGCAGAGTAATGTAGCAGAGCATTCTGAAATAAAGAGTAAAAGTGCTTTGCTAGACTGCTCAACTGGTATAGATTATTCCAAAATATATTAAAAATGCTCTGCTTAAATGCAATGCTCAGCTGGATGAACAATCTAGCGGGGCATATAGAGTAAAAATGCTCTGCTGAAATGACGAGTTGACAGAGCAGTCTTGCGGGGTATTCTTTAAAATAGTGCAGTAAGTGTTCTGCTGGAATGCTGAGCTGGAAGAGCAATGTTGCGGGTAATTCCTAAGAATAATGCAAAAAAAAGCTCAGCTGAAATGGTCTGCTGGCTTGGCAATTAAGCCTCGAAGATCAAATTATTGAAATATCCATTTTTTTTGCTGTTACTGACTATAGCTTTGCTGCTATTATTGAACAGATTGACTTCACATTGTAACAGAACATTTTTAAGATAAAACTTTACTAATCAATCGCGTTCCTGAATAAAAATTAAAATTTAAAAAAGGAAAACACTTTTTTTCCTTAATTTTCTTTTTTTAAGATTTGTTTAAACCGTTTATTTGTTTGTTTGTGTTGTTGTTACTTGTTTTAGATAAAGGTAAACAAGTCGAGCGTTGCTCTCGCCCGGTGGTGGTTCTTGTTAACACTATATTTACGAATTTCCCGCTAGATTGCTCTTCCAGCTTAGGATTCCACAGAACATTTTTATTCTATATTCAGGAACGCCCTGCTAAATTGTAATGCCTCATAGCTTCATATTGATAACAATATTTGAAACAATGATCTTCTTCACGTATTTCAAAATTCTTTGTATGTTTACAGCTCCTGCTTTACCACTGAAACCTAAAAGTATAAACAATGAAAAATGTCTCGCTGATGAACTGCAAGAAGCCCTCGTCATAAATGATCAAGCCATTGAAAGTGAAGATGATGTGTTTATTCCAAGTTCTGGAAAACAAATTCCAAAAGTTTATCCTAAATACAGTGGTAAATTCTTAGAAGAACTGAAAACTGTAAAATTTAACTCTGTGTCAAAAAATACCCGAGCTTTCCTAAACTCGGACAATATGTATCTAAAAGAAGACTCTACAGAACGATCTGAAGAACAAAAGGAAAATGAAAAATCAAATGATATGTCTTGTGCAAAAGAACGTCACATGAACACATCTTCCAGTGGTGAAGGGAACAATGAGGGTGATGGAGGTGTGTATATTATAAATCATCTATAAATTTTATAGTAATGGAAAGAAAATGCAACTTAAAGAATTTAATATCTAGAGAATTGTTCAAGTATTTTTGAACCCATAGTTCATATCATTGGTTATAAAGTTTCTTCAAGTGTATCAAATACCATTTCAACACTAAAAGATAAAATTAAATATTTACTTCATTACAGATAACCGACGTTTCAACAATTGTTTTCCTGCAACTCAATACCAAGACTTAGTAGTAACTCATCGGGGAATGCATCGGTTTGTACCGCGTCACAAAGATGAAATAAGCATAGAAATAGGTGATCCAATACATGTATTTAAAACTGAGGATGACCTATGGTGTGAAGGTACTTTCTTCTTTGATTTCTATAACCAAATAAGAAAAGTGAATGACATTTGCAACCTCAATAATATAATCTGACTGTTAGAAAACGTGTATATATGAGTATCATTTTTAGCTCGACTTTTTTTTGAAGAAAAAAAGAGTAGAGGTATTGTTATAGTCTTGGCGGCGTTGCCGTCCGCAAACCTGTACCTGGATCTTACTTTCTTTGTTCTTGGTGTATTGTCTTCATACTTGGCCGCAACAACCCATTGGACAAGACCTTTCAGTAGACCACACTAACCTTGACCTTTATCCATAAATGACCTTGACCTTCTAGGTCAAAAGTCCAAATTTTGCTTGTTCTTGCTATTATTGGCTGTATCTTTGTTATTTTTGAATGGATTGTCTTCAAACTTGCACATAATAATCTTGAAGGATAGCCCTTTAAAATAGCTAGATAGACATTGACCTTCACTCACTCATAAATGACCTTGACTTTGAAGGTCAAATTATTGAAATTATCATTTTTTTGGCTGTAACTGGCTGTTCCTTTGTTATTTTTGAATGGATTGTCTCCAAACTTGAACATAATAATCTTGAAAGATAGCCCTTTAAAATAAGCAGACAGACCTTGACCTTCACTCATTAATGACCTTTGACTTTGAAGGTCAAATACATGTATGTATATCAGTGGCGTAGCGAGGCAAAAACGAATAATATGTGTTTTTTTCCCACTGCATTTTACAGCCGAATAAAGGCTGTTTTCCCTAGCTCAAAATAGGTAAATTTTCCCCTGAAAATGCAAATATTTTCCCCTAAAATACCTCGTGCTCTTTCTTACAAGAACAATGACATAACAGCATCTGACTTATATCAGCTTAAATACAGTCAGCTGTCCCAATAGACAGCCTCTGCTATGTACCATGCATGTTAAAGTGAATAAAAAAATGAAAAGTTTTATAAAAATGGGTTGGTAATTTCCATTCTTATTGTTTTGGAATCTGATTTTAGGTTTCCCCTCTTTTCGGTTTTATCTTGCTATATTTTCCCCTTCGAAAAGCCACGGGTTGTTTTGATAATTGTAAAAAAATCACTATTAATACTCCGTGGGGAGTGTTAAGGGAGGGGTGTCCCCCTCCCCTCTCTATGTTAGGGGGTTCCGGGGTTTCCCCCCGAGAAAATCTTTATTTTTAGATGCAAAATAAATAACACAATCTGGTGTACTTTGACAGCATATTTACCCCCCCCCCCCATCAGACGCTCATATCTTAATAAATTATATAATAACTAAGAAGAGAAATACATTGCAGCAAGACAAGGTTGTTTTCCACATGTTTCCAGTCTCTTCATTGTGCTGAATGACCGTTCCACTGAAGCCGCATAGAAACTTGCATAATGAGCAGAACAACCAAAACAAGGACGGACATTGCTATTCATTAACCAGTGGTAATGTACCCAGACGTGTTTCACGGAGCTTGTGGACTGCCCAACGCAAGTGCCCTATTGATTCACCATGTTACTGATTTCCTCACTTTCTTGGTAAAGGTAGCTTCGTCTTTATCACCTGCACAGCCATTGTACCGTCTGTGCAAGTAGCTTCCCTCTGTTTGTTTGGTTTTGTTTTTATAGCGCACTGACACAATTTAGGTAATATGCTCTCGAAACTGTGATGTTGATTTTGCCTAACATCGAGAATTCACAAACTTATATCAATACAAGGGCCAAAACCATCTCACCTGCTGGAGCTAAGAGATGCATAGACTCCAGAAGTTCAAAACCATTTAGTTGCCTCTTACGATCATACATGGATAGAAGGCAGTTCTTAAAGCCTTAAAGGCAACAGTGTTCTGTCGTCACATGTGTGATGACAATTTCAAACGTCGAAACATACGAGTATATCTATAAATAGCACAAAAGTTTAAAACTTTCTCTTTATTTCGATCTTATCATAATTATTAATTAACCCAAATTATATTCCATATTATTTGATAGAAAAAAAAACAACACACATTTGAATATGATTAAATGGCAAACTACCTATTTTACCTATTTCAAATATTCCGATTTACTTCCCTCTACTTAAATCATGTAATAATACATTGGCATCGGGCTAATCTTATTTTAACAGAATAATTTTCTGCTCATCGTTTAAAATGGTGCTATTGAACTATTGGGACTCAGTTCCTCGGAAGTTTTACAAGTGGGGGCCACTTGAATTGTACGTCCCGCTTTTTAGCTCACCTGTCACAAAGTGACAGGGTGAGCTTTTGTGATCGCTTTTCGTCCGGCGTCCGTCCGTCGTCCGTCCGTCCGTCGGTAAACTTTTACTTTAAATGACATCTCCTAATAAACCACTCAGCCAATTTCATCCAAACTTCACAGGAATGTTCCTTTGGTGGTCACCTTTAAAAATTGTTCAAAGAATTTAATTCCATGCAGAACTCTGGTTGCCATGGCAACCGAAAGAAAAAACTTTAAATATCTTCTTTTAAAAAACCCTAAGAGCTAGAGCTTAGATATTTGGCATGAAACATCTTCTAATGAGTGTCTACCAAGTTTGTTCAAATAAAAGCCCTGGGGTCAAAATTGGCCCCGCCCCAGGGGGTCTTTGATTTTCCCTATATGCATATAGTAAAAACTTAAAATATCTTCTTTTAAAGAACCCAAAGAGCTAGAGCTTAGATATTTAGCATGAAACATGTTCTAATGAGTGTCTACCAAGTTTGTTCAAATAAAAGCCCTGGGGTCAAAATTGGCCCCGCCCCAGGGGGTCATTGATTTTCCCTATACATGTGTATATGCATATAGTAAAAACTTAAAAAAATCTTCTTTTAAAGAACTCAAAGAGCTTGAGCTAAGATCTTTAGCATAAAATATGTTCTAATGGGTGTCTACCAAGTTTGTTCAAATAAAAGCCCTGGGGTCAAAATTGGCCCCGCCCTGGGGGTCATTGATTTTCCTTATATTTGTATAGCAAAAACTTAAAAAATCTTCTTTAAAAAAAAAAACCAAATAGCTAGAGTTTAGATATTAAGCATGAAACATCTTCTAGTGAGTATCTACCAAGTTTGTTCAAATAAAAGCCCTGGGGTCAAAATTGGCCCCGCCCAAGGGGGTCTTTGATTTTCCCTATATGCATATAGTAAAAACTTAAAAAATCATCTTTTAAAAAACCCAAAGAGGTACAGCTAAGATATTTAGCATGAAACATCTTCTAATGAGTGTCTACCAAGTTTGTTCAAATAAAAGCTCTGGGGTCAAAATTGGCCCCGCCCAAGGGGGTCATTGATTTTCCCTATATGCATATAGTAAAAACTTAAAAAATCTTCTTTTAAAGAAATCGAAGAGCTAGAGCTAAGATATTTAGAATGAAACATGTTCTAATTGGTGTCTACCAAGTTTGTTCAAATAAAAGCCCTGTGGTCAAAATTGGCCCCGCCAGGGGGTCATTGATTTTCCTTATAATATTATGTATGTAGCAAAAACTTTAAAAATTCTTCTTTGAAAAAAACCCAAATAGCTGGAGTTTAGATATTTAATATGAAACATCTTCTAGTGCGTGTCTACAAAGTTTGTTCAAATAAAAGCCCTGGAGTCAAAATTGGCCCGCTTCCAGGTGTTATTGATTTTCCTTATATTTGTATAGCAAAAACTTTAAAAATCTTCTTTGAAAAAAACCCAAATAGCTGGAGTTTAGATATGAAGCATAAAACATCTTCTAGTAATTGTCTACAAAGTTTGTTCAAATAAAAGCCCTGGGGTCAAATTGGCCCTACCCCAGGGGTGTCATTGGTTTTAACTATATGTGTATAGTAAAAACTTAAAAAATCTTATTTAAAAAAAAAAACCCAATGAGCTAGAGCTTAGATGTTTAGCATGAAACATCTTCTTGGGTGTCTACCAAGTTTGTTCAAATAAAAGCCCTTGGGTTAAAATTGGCCCAGCCAGGGGGGGGGGGGAGGAGCGGGGCAGAAGGAGGGGGTTAGATCGTTGTTTTTCATTATATGTGTGTAGTAAAAACTTTACATCGTGAAACATCTTCTAATGGGTGTCTTCCAAGTTTGTTCAAGTAAAAGCCCTGGGGTTTAAACTGGCCCTGCTCCGGCTGCCTTCATACAGGTGAGCGACCCCAGGGCCACTATGGCCCTCTTGTTTAAATTTTCATGTAAATCACCTTCTTAACATACTTGCAGCCAAAAATACCGATGCAAATTTTAAATCGCCTATAAACAATACTATATAGTTCTTTGTCAGCAAAGTCCTATTTTCCTTTTTTTTACTTAATGAGTCAAAACTCTCGGCGATGCCTAACCAGGGTTAGGGTACTGATTTTGACAAATTTTTTTAACTTTTAAGAGTTTATTTTTTTTAAAACACGATTTCAAATATATATATGCAGATATATATGAAAAGGATTCATACAAAACTAATGTGACAAGGCAGACCTATTAAAATTATAAAAAGGAAATGTTAAGGTTTCTTCAAACATTTCTTTGTTTGCTTTTAGAAAAGGAAATAGTCGAGCGTTGCCCCCGCCCGGCGGTAGCTCTTGTATACATGTATATTGGTAGGAACATGAACTTTACATTTAATACAAATAAATAAATAAATGATAAATTAATAGTATCAATGATGGCTGTAACAACGTCTTGGGTAATCTTGAAAATATTTTTTTTCTTTTTTATGTCCTAAATTTATTACGATGAATTTACTACACTACATTGCTTAATATGAAGTCTTTAATGTATAACAGTAAAGAAGTATAGGTTTAACTCATGACGGCACACTGTAGCAGATAATTATTGATCTACTCCACAACCACATATAGTTTTATAAATTGTAATATTTATAATCAATGGATGAAATTGTTTCGAGTTGTTATGATACTTTCATTTTGTATACAAATCATTTTCTATCAGGTGTAAATCTGCGCTCGAGTCAAAGAGGTATATTCCCTTGCATGTACGCCACAGACCTTGAATTTCTAGAAGAAGAAGAAGGTGAAGATCTTTGTCTCTTTCTGTTTCTGAAAAGCGGTTTAAACTTTAGATTTATTTAGCTTTGCGTGATTTAACTTTTTTCTAAGTGATATAATTACCCTATGTAAACTGTAAAAATATTTGCACTAAATTTAAACAATTTAAAACGGTCTAACCTTCCTTCTTAATACATAAAAAAATATATGTAAAATGGTTTAAAAGATATGTCAACATGTTTTGTGACATAATTGTTTTTTCATTATTTTTACACTGTACATTTGTAAATGGTTGACAAATTTACATTCAATTTTCAAGTATATGTAACGATTTTTTACCCTTTTGCTTTTTCTTTACTTATGTTAGAAGTAATTTATAAAATGCTTGTTTTTTACTATTTCAGAAGAAAATGGTTGTTCAAAATTTTTTCTAAGATTTCTCGGATCTGTTGAAGTAAACTATCATAAAGGTGATGAAATATTATGCCAAGCCATAAATAAGGTATTATTTAATTTTTCAGATAAAGTTGATCAATGTCTCTCTGATTATAATATTGTAGAAAAGTCGGAGAAAATCCATTAAATTGAGTCAGCTGTAATTGATCGTTATTTAATGTATTAAAGCGAAATATTAATTGTTATAGGGCGCTAATAAGCGTGCTTTTGTTCGCGCCCTGCCAAATTATTCTTAAAAGACCGGACTTTTCGCTCCGCGTCCCCGCTAATAAGCGGGAATAAGCAGTAATGTGTCATAGAGGTAGCAAAATGTAGATAAAGTAGTACTTTGACTTCCACAAAATTTACTGATACCAATTCTTTTATTCTTAAACTGTGTTATTTCTTCATGGATTTACTTCAATTTTCAAATATATGTTCGTTATTAACACCTACATCAAATGTGATTAGATTTATAAGTCTAGCGCCTGGGTTTTCATTTTTATTTTCATTTGCAACTGAAAATTGTCATTTTTGTTTTCTTCTTTGTTACTATAAATGGTGTATATTTGAAAATTGTTATATTTATCACTTTTCTTCTTTGGTACTGTAAATGGTATGTAAATGAGTATAACGTTCTTAAGTCTAGCATCTGTATTTCAAGAGTTATCTCCTCTCTTTAGCTTAAGAATTTGCTTTTAAAAATGCTATATTCTGGTTACAACCAGGGATATTTAAAGATATACCCACTTTTTGTCAGTCCGTTGTCTGTTCATCCCTAACAACTGTTTCCTGAGATTATTTTTAAAGAACTTAAAATAGAGAAAAATTTAAACATAAGTTATACATATTTATCGATCTGAGAAAATTAGATCTTTTAATTATCTGCTGTGTAAACATAATTTTCTTATTAGGCATGGAAACTAAACACATTACTTTGATACAGATGAACTAAGATTTCAAAAGAAAAACCTTGTTAACACTCTTGCGGTCACATTTTTGCCTCAATCATTATCAAACTTTGTCAGGACGCTTGTCTAGGTGATAGCTCGAATAAGTTCGAACAAGGGTCATCTCGGATGAAAAACTAGGTCACCGGAGCTAAAAATAGAAATACATTGTTAACACTCTAGTGGTCACATTTCTGCCTCAATCATCATAAAACTTTGTCTAGGTGATAGCTCGGATGAGTTTGAACATGGGTCATCCCGGATGAAAAACTAGGTCACCGGAGCTAAATATAGAAAAACCTTGTTAACACTCTAGTGGTCACATTTTTGACTCAACCATCTTTAAATTTGGTCAGGATGCTTGTCTAGGTGATAGCTCGAATGAGTTCGAACATGGGTCATCTCGGATGAAAAACTAGGTCACAGGAGCTAAAAATAGAAAAACATTGTTAACACTCTAGTGGCTACTGTTTTGATCCAAATATCCTGTAAATTGGTCTGAAAGTTTGTTTTGATAATTTCTAGGTCAAGTTCGAATATGGGTCACCTGGGGTCAAAAACTAGGTCACACTGCCAAAATATGGAAAAACCTTGTTAACATTCTAGTGGTCGCATTTTTGACTCAATTATCATCAAACTTGGTCAGGATGCTTGCCTAGGTCATTGGATGAGTTTGAACATGGGTCATCTCGGATGAAAAGCTAGATCACCTGAGCTAAAAATAGAAAAATCTTGTTAACACTCTAGTGGCTACTGATTTGATCCAAATATCCTGTAAATTGGTCTGAAAGTTTGTTTTGATAATTTCTAGGTCAAATTCGAATATGGGTCACCTGGGGTCAAAAACTAGGTCACACTGCCAAAATATGGAAAAACCTTGTTAACACTCTAGTGGTCACATTTTTGACTCAATTATCATCAAACTTGGTCAGGATGCTTGTCTAGGTAATTGATCGGATGAGTTCGAATATGGGTCATCTCGCATAAAAAACTAGGTCACCATAGCTAAAAATAGAAAAATCTTGTTAACACTCTAGTGGCTACTGTTTTGATCCAAGTATCCTTGAAATTGGTCTGAAAGTTTGTTTTGATGATTTCTAAGTCAAGTTTGAATATGGGTCACCCGGGTAAAAAACTAGGTCACACTGCTCAAATATGAATAATCCTTGTTAACACTCTAGTGGTCACATTTTTGACTCACCTGTCATGAAACTTGGTCAGAATGCTTGTCTAGGTAATTGCTCGGATGAGTTCGATGGGTCAGGTGAGCGATCTAGGGCCATTATGGCCTTTTTGTTTGTACTATATCTGGCTATAACTTTGTTATAAATGAATAGATTGGCTTCAAAGATCCTGTATATTTTAATTAAGGTTGTTACCACACTTAAGTGAAATTTCATATATGTATATATAATTGATCTTCTAAAACAATGTTCAAACATCGAATAATATGTAATATATGTACAGCAAGTATTTGTTCACATAATATGTACTCATTAAAATGCATGCATTCATTTCTTTTTGAAAAATTTGATTTAGACTTTAAAGAAAATAAATTTCTAATTATCTCCCTTTATTAACATGAAATGTAAATTCGGCAATGTCTTTACAAATAAGGCTTTTTGGAATTTACAATAGTGTTAAATCTTCATTTGAGCATTATATTTATGATATAAAGCCATAAAGAATCGAGTTACAGGATCTTTAATGTATATCGAACTCAAATTGACTTTGGCTCATTACTGAACTTTGCCTTGAAGGATAAATTATTGAATTTTAACTTATTTTTACTATAATTGACTGTAACTTAACAAATGGATATCTCCATAATTGGACATAACAACCTTTTCGACAAGACCTTCTTAAAGGTTGAACTGACCTTGACATTGAGCTGAAAAAGGAATTTATTTACTAAAACTTTTTTTTCTTTAATGTTCGTATATGTCTTGAATATATAAGTAACACGCTTGTCTGTACACTTTTGACTAATTTTACTATATCTAGATCCGTAATTTTTATATTTCATAAGTTGTAGTTTGAAAAACAAACAAACAAACAAACAAACAAACAACAACAACAAACGTTTTCTTTCATTTTCGTGTAATATCGAGAATGCATGTCTGATATCGATCTGGACATTTCATGACTGAAGCTTATTGTGTATTTTTCTGCACCGAGAGTAGCATGTATGGCAACTGTATTTGATAACGACGTGTGTGTTGAGGTCGATATTATATCTGTACGGTTTTAATGCTATATCATTTAGTTGTTGTTCTTTGTCACTAGAGCTATTTCAAATTTTACATGCAAATGAGCAGTCGATTCAAAACAATTACGTTTAACTATCATAGGTGGGCAGGTTTAGTTTGTTTTTTTTTTGTTTGCGTCACTACGCTCTTTGTTACAACACAAACAAAAAAACAAGAAATGTCGAACGACACATATGCCCACCTTTCTAGCCATTGACTCACATAATTGGTAATGTTGTTAAAGGAACTTACCATACATGGGTACATGGAAGTGTTCAATTATGGAAAAAAGAAAAATAATGAAGACGTTGTGATAAATACTTTTCAAGATAATGAGACATTAAAGGCCCCTGTGACCTAGAACATTGAACGTGTGACCCAAAATAAATAGGGGTCATCTAATAGTTATCATCAATCAATATTAGAAATATGTAGACTTTGTGATTGATACTTTTCAAGATAATCAGCGGAAACCATTTTGACATTAAAGGCCCCTGTGACCTTGATCTTTGATCTAGTGACCCTAAAATCAATAGGGGTCATCTACTAGTTATGACCAATCACAATGTGAAATATGAAGACTTTGTGATTAATACTTTTCAAGATAAGCAGCATAAACCATTTTGACATTTAAAGCCCCTGTGACTTTGACCTTTGACCTAGTGACCCCAAAATCTATAGGGGTTATCTACTATTTATGGTTAATCAATATCTGAAATATGAAGATTTTGTGATGAATACTTTTCAAGATAATCAGCGGAAATTCATCTGACATTTAATGCCCCTGTGACCTTGACCTTTGACCTAGTGACCCCAAATCAATAGGGGTCATCTACTAGTTATGACCAATCACTATATGACGACTTTGTGATGAATAATGCCACGGTTTTCAAGTAAATGCGGTTGACAAGTTTTTACCAATCTGTTTCGAAATGAAACTTTACAAACTTGAGATTGTACAATTAAGTATACCTAAAATATATATTGGTTTAATTAACACTGTCTGAAGTAGATTTTATTACCTTAAATTCAAGATAATCAGCGGAAATCGTTTTGACATTTAAAGCCCCTGTGACCTTGACCTTTGACCTAGTGACCCCAAAATCAATAGGGATCATCTACTAGTTATGACCAATCATTATGTGAAATATAAATACTTTGTGATATTTACTTTTCAAGATAATCAGCGGAAACCATTTTGACATTTAAGGCCCCTGTGACCTTGACCTTTGACCTTGTGACCCCAAAATCAATAGTGGTTATGAATGGAGACTTTATTTCTGTGCAGTTTTTATGCCCCCGCCATATAATGGCTGTGGCATATAGTGTTATCCTGTTCCGTCATTCCGTCCTTCCGTCATTCCGTCCTTCCGTCATTCTGTCATTCCGTCATCATCAGTTTCGTTCATTATCTTAGTAATAGTTGCACACATTCAACTCAAATTTGACATATGTCTATGTCATGAGAAAATACAGGTAAAGTTTGAATTTGGTCATGGTTCGATGATTTTTGGCAGAGAAATGCCCCTTTTACTATTAAAATAAAATGAAATTTTCAGTTTCCGTTCATTATCTCTCCAACGGTATTACACATTCAACTCAAACTTGACATATGGATATGTCATGAGAAAATACAGGTCAAGTTCATATGTGATCATAGTTCGATGATTTTTGAGAGAGTTATGCCCCTTTTAATTTGAAAATAATATGAAATTTTCAGTTTCCGTTCATTATCTCCCCAACAGTATTACACATTCAACTTAAATTTGACATATGGATATGTCAAAGGAATGCACAGGTCAAGATCAAATTTGGTCATGGTTCAATGATTTTTGGCAGAGTTATGCCCCTTTTACTTTGAAAATAAT